TATATATTTATATTATTATACTTTTTATATATTTATATACAACATGCGTATTTTATATATTTTGTATCTCTAGCAACATCTTTCACTGCAAAAAGCAAAGTGACTCTCTGAGCCTGCGCTCCTACTTGTAATGAGAGATTGCTTCTTAAGCGAAACAAGACATGGATAATGCTGCCTTGTGTTTTTTGTGGTACTAATGCAGCATGAAAATGCTTCCTTGATACTTTTCCTACATTTTTATTTATCTTGATTCTCATCCAATTTGTAATAGCATCTCTGAAGCAAAGGCTGAGTGAGAAATAAAGTTAAGCTGAGATGAAATAAATATCCCACATTACCCTCCAGTATAAAATGGTATCTTCAGTCTTGTTTTTGCTGTGTATGTCTGACCAAAAGGAGTTGCTACACAACCTGCAGTCAAAACTCCCTTTACAGTCTATTAAAAGAGCAATAAAAGCAGGAAAAAAAAAAACAAACGAGTTTTCTATCAGACACAGCACACGCACATAGCTAGCAGGGTCAGGACACTAGGAGGATTTTCCGTTGATTACAGATACACAAAACACTATATCAAAACTTCTGAGTATAACGTATCACAGTACCTTCAAAGTGATAGCACTTTTAATCTAGGCCCCTCCTGGTATCACGCTTTGCATAATTGCTACTCGTCTCCAAAATGCAAAATCAGTTCAAGCATATGGTGCAGCAAGCAAAATTTACTCTACCATTTCTAGTAGGAAATGGTAGAATAAAAAATGGAAAAAATGAAGCTGCCTGAGAGAAATAAAGTGGATTTTTGCAAAACAGTCAAAATGCATTTTTCATGTTTTTGGCATGCAATTGATAGAACTTGAGCAGTGCATTTTCATTCCATTCTATATTTTGCAATGTTTGAGGTGACCTGGGTTCCTAAGGAAACAAGTCTTCCCAAGACCTCAAGCTGCCTGTTCCTTCCTCCAGCATCACTTTTTGAACATATCATCCAATTTCTAGCACATCTGGCAGATCTAGTTTACAAGATCTAGTTCCTACTTGAGAAAATCAGTGATCAGACAGAGGAAAAAGACCAGTTAGTTCCCCCCAAGGAAACTCATATTGGAAACATCCACCTCTCAGCTGTGCTTGGCCAGCAGCAGGTCTGTACCCTGCCAGCCAGCAGGGCAGCAGGTGAATCCAGGCAACATCTGCTGTGTGTCTAATAAAAGCACTCAAGGATGCAGAAGAGATGGGGTGTCCTAAGGGCAGCCAGGAGTACCACATGGAGAGGTGCAGGACCCATGTTGGGAAGAAGCAGGATTAGGGGACCATTTAGGGGTGAGGATGGCATGGGAGACTTGCAGATTTACCAGTTTAGGGGTGATAGAGGATACAGGAGACAGGTGAAGTCACCAGAGGTGCAGGGGGAAAGGACTAGCAGGGATACGAAGCCATGCGGAGCAAAGCCTCACTCATTCTGCCACCAACAGCACTACTTGCTCTGCTCTCGGATAGCAGAATGCCCTAAACTGTGGGTGAAGGAGTGTTGCCTGAAACCCCTCTAAATCTGCTGATAGATAGAAAATGCTTTTTTCTTGGTGCTTGGCCAGTCAAAGGTAAAGAGATCTCATGTACATTTTCTAATAGAAAGCATGGAAGCTGCATCTTTGTTTATCAAAACTATCCTCTAATCTTACCTGATGTTCTTCGGAAATTTCTGGAGAATGTACTGCTCTGGTAGTGTCCAGAAGGATGCAGCAGATGATACTTTTCTGACAAGGCAGGTGAATCTAACACCCAGCACAGGCAAAGGTGTGTGTGTTCATGAGCCTGGATAATTCCCAAGTGCTTTATTATTTCCCTGCTCAGCCCACAATATAGCTTATAAGGAAATTTGTCTTAAGCAAATGTGTTCTTTTTTTCTTCCTCAGTTCCCTTCCCTTCCCTTCCTTTCCCTTCCCTTCCCTTCTCTTTGCTTTCCTTCCCTATATATTAATGTATTAATAATAATAGAATGAAAAGAAATCAGAAGGGAAAGACAGAAATTTAAGTTGCTGATAGAAGGAGAGCATGGAAGTGTGCAGGAATATTCAATACCCCAGCCCAGGGAGCAATTTACAAACGTAACCACCTTCCACCTTCCACCTGCCACATTGCAGAAAAGCTACACAGAAAATCCGTCATTGTCCTTTATCTCCAGAGCTGGAGCCCTCCAAGGAAACCGAGGGTCTTTAGCTGGCCTTAGCCAACTTTCAACACTAGACTGGATGCCAATGAAAAGAGACATACAGAGTTAGACAACGTGAAGAATATTTTTGTTTTGCAGAGTAAGAGTTACTATAATCACTTAATTAGTGCACTTTCTGTATTTCTGAAAGGGGTATTGATTGTTGAAATACAAGAGACTTAAAGTTGTTTGGTTTGAACTAATGTAATATTAATAGGCTCAGAAGATGTATTTTGTCATAGCTATATTTCATCTAGGAAAGACAGCATTCAAGCATGAAATACAGAGAAAAAACTAGAATGAGAACAAGAAGGTAGAAAAAGACCAAAATGTAACTTTCTCACTGTAAAATACTGAAAAATATAATAAACATTAAGAGATTATGAAAAAAGTCACTCATTTGGAACAAAAAAACCCCTCCAGGTTTTGCGAGACCATAGGGCAGATTTTGTCTGAATTACAAAAATGAGAAGGGATGGGAACACTCCTTTGAAAATGAAAAAAAATTTGGATTAAAATGAACAAATGGGTTGTGAGCTCAAACTACTTTTCATTTTGAATTAATCTGGAAAAACATAACTATAAAGCTCTATAGAAATAATACAAAAGAAAGAATATTAATACAAAGTGTCAGATTATAAAATATTTTTAACCAGTTTTCAGCTTGGAGAGAGCGAGAGAGAGAGACATTTGTACATGCTGGTTCACTTTACATCTTCACTAGGAAACATCATGCAGCTCTGCTGTGCTGGCTTGGAATATGCATTTTCTTTAAATGATGCACAGGAAAATTAATCAAGGAAATAAATACTTCCAGCCACTGATTTAGTAAAGCCTGTCAGTGGAATAGAAATATTTTTGTTGACTTCAGAGGGCTTTTAAACAGACCTTGTGTAACATGTACGTCTTAAAATCAAGTCAAAGACTCTTGGGAGGAAAACAAATCCAGGAGCAGAAAAAAAAATAAAGACTCTATCTCCAAACAAGTGATTGGGGAATCAAATGTGCAGTGTCCTTCATCAAGGACAGTTCCTTCTGCAGAGAATTAATAACAGAAAATTTCCTCTAACACCTAGCTCTGTACACGTTCCTGAACAAAGTCACGTGAGACACAACCTCCATGAAATACAGATAAGCTATCATTTTCCCGTCAGACATAAATACATTCGAAAAACTAGTTCCTAAACTACTTTGTACTTTATCTCTCCAATCCCCAATTGTTCTTTACTCTTGAAGATGCAGTGACAGTAGTAGAAAGTGAGAAATCAGCTGCAAGAAATATTTTCTTAACGGTTGGCCAATCTGTTTGTTTTCTGGTCTCACACTCAGCATTTTCCACGTTCTTTCACAGTATTCCCAGCCGCAAGCCATATTTCAGAGTGAATGAGTGCAGTGTCCTCTAGCGCTCTTATTCATGGTTTGCTGCTAGATGGTAGATTTTGTCCACTGACACACCACTGAACTGAGTGGACTATTAGGGCACTGTTTAGATATGCTAAGCGCTGAACAGCACCTAGCTCCATTCATCAGCAAACTGTGAAAGTCGTATTTATAATGGAGGCCCCATTTCTGCTTGTTTATTCTGAAGGATACTTAACATTTTTGCTACA